GGGAAAAGCACAAGAGCGTGTTTAAGAATGTTTCTTAGGGAATGGAAAGAGAGCTTTGGGACTGGCAATATTAGGATAAGAGCAAAAGGAACCATATTCATATCCAGAAAAGCCACTTTGTTTTGTTAACCTTGGTGCGTAGAGGTTAGTCCACCTCAAGTTAACGTTGGTGGGTGTTTCTGGTTACCAAAGCACTCTGGCATGACAGGTGCCAGCAGTCCTTCCCAAACTCCGGATGGCTAGGGCTGTTTCTGCCATACCAGCGAGCCCTGTTGCTTTCCTTCTACAAGGAGTCTCTGCAGCAATCATATCACCCTTTCTGAGACCTCAGCATATCTGTTGCTTAGTCAATTTGAACTCATAGTAATACCATATGAACCAGGATTTTTCCCTTGTGCCCCATAGAACTTTTCTTGGATGGTATCTTTACAGAAGCAGATTGCTAGTCCTCCACCCACCCTCACCCCCATGGGAGCACTGGTTGAGTTCAAAGTGGCATCTTTTCTGTTGGCAGATTAGTGCCTGTTTGTGCCACCAGAACTCCTTTCTTCTATATCCTATATAATTTGTTTGTAGTTATATTTTGTTAGATTCTCTCCTGTAAACTGTGTGGGCTTTAAATCATCCTAGAATATAGCCCACATCCTGATATGTGGGTCATACCAGGACTACTTTAAATTTGTTTCCTCATACGCATGATCAATATCTCCCTCTCGCTTGTCCCCGTATCTAATGAAGGAATCTGAAATATTTTCTACTTCCCGCTCATTATATTCAATACAGCAAACCAGTGTGATATTTTGTGGAATACAAGGGGGTTTATTGGAAGAAGTTCATGAAACTGGAATTAAATTTAAAAGACAATGCAATTAAAAGTTTTATTGACACATAATTCATATATCATACAATCATATTAAGAGTTGTACATTAATCATCATGGTCAATTTCAGTACCTTTTCTTCCTGTACTTGTTGTTAGTTCCCCAATTCCCTGAAACCTCCCCTGTCATCACCCTAGATAATTATTCATCTAGTTACTATCTCTTTAGATTTTCCTATTCAGGATTTCATAAATGGAAAATCATACTAAATATAAAGAAGAATCAAACAAACAAACAACCAAACAAACAAAACCCCAACAAAACAGAAAAAAACTCAATTGAAAAGCATTAACTATTTAAAACGGAAACAACTTTAAAATGAGTCAAAAGAGAGATCAAATTATAAGATGTTACATTTTAATCTAACTATATCTGCCATAATGAACTTTACAATGCTCTCTTTTCAACAGTAAGGCTATTCACATCCCTGGGCTATGGTCAGATGGGATTCACCCCAGGCTTAATCTATGAGGTGACCCTGCAAATGGATTTTTGGTTTCCAGTGTCATCCATAGACTTCTGCAAGCCGAGTGCTCCAAATTTAAACTCTGATGCTATTCCCTCCTTTGGATTAGGATTTTATTATTTGAAATCCTTAGATCACACACACAGGCTGGTGTGCTTCTTCCATGTAGACATAGTTGACCTCAATTAGTTGGCTGTTTGTTTGAAAATAAGCTTTTAAGGACCCAGATACTATTCTTTTTGATTTTTTGGTATCATCTGGTTCTTCACCATACTTTGCTATAGCAAATTATCCTCAGTGAGCTCTTCATGAGGGCAAGTATTGAGTTAAGGCATGTCATAAGAACTAATTGCTCTTAGATTGGGGCTAGAATTAAGAGCCCCAATTCATTCATATATATTCATATTGATATGTGGCTCTGGTTCAGATAATGGAATTTTTGAAGCCTCTTTGTAAAAAGATGATCAAAATGCCTGTGAACTATAGTAAGGAGAATTGGTGAAGCCCGAGTCAAGACTGTGTAGGTACATTGTTCACTTTGCCAGGTAAAAGCTAATTCCTGATGGTTTTTGTAAATTGGTATTCAGAAAACCTTGCAACAGAGAAACTAGCTTTAAATAGACCAATAGCTGTATAACAAAACACAGGGGCTGTGTTGATTTGCTCCAGTAAATACATTATACCTGGGACAGCAGCTGCAATTGAATTCACTTCATAATTAAGTTTACAGTAGTCCCCACATTCTAAGATCCATATGACTTCTTCACAGGTCAAATTAGTGAGTTAAATTAAAATGTGAAAGATACCTTTTTTCAAGCCTTTTATGGTGGCAATTCCCCATAGGGATATAGTATTAATTCTGGCTTATTATCTTGCCATTTGACTTCTCTTATTCCTGAATCTTTGCATGGTCAATGAAACCAAGTTGTTACTAAATGGTGGCATCTCCATAGCAACCCCCACATCTGACCTACAGTAGGGAGAATCCGCAGAGATGTTTAAAGATGTAGATGTTCACCTCACTAATGTTAGTTCTCAGTGCTTCAGTAAAGGAACTGTCTTCTGGGGATTCACGAAACATAATTGGGGTAAGAATGATTTGAAATGTCAAGCTTGTCAAGTTTTATATGGGACCATCCCATTGCAAGCTTTAGGGGCCTGTTCAAAGCCCTAACTTTTACATGAGAAGTTTGGTGTGCCTGTGAATTCAACTGTTGTTGTAATTCAGTTACCTGAACATTTAAAAACATTGTGGTTTTCAATAATATTATCTAGTGGTTATAAGACACAATGAGAGTTGTTATGGAAGTTCTCTTTCATTCATTTGATCTAAGAGTTAATGGACTGGTGTCTGTCATTTTTTAATTTGTAAGCACTCAAAAGAATCCATATTACACCATAGTCCCCACAGTCCTCTTTATTGCCATAATTGCTTGATTAATTGGGATGGTCTACATACCATGGATTATTAGCATCCCAGAATGGACTCTATGGGAATGAGTTAGGCTGTGAAATTTCCCTTTAGTAAAATAGCTCAGTACTACATTAAGCTCAAAGGCCTAACTATAACAATCCTCAAATCTTCCCTTTCTGGGTTTATCTCCTGAGACAACTACTGGGACAGGGAAAGCTTAATAGAAGAAGAAAAAAAGATTAATTATAACATGGGGATTAGAATTATGAGGGACTTGCTATTAAGACTAAAATACCAAGAGAGTAAGAAAATAGAAGCTGTAAGGATCAATAACTCTAGAACTGAGGCAGAGCGCCCAAGGTAGAGCCCTATCAGTGGAGAACCAGACATTGTTGGAAAGGCTCACCGAAAGGCAGAAAAGCAACTGTGGTGTCATACTGATACAACTTGTTGAAAATCTGTGCTGGATTTTACAGGCTGTTCAAGGAAGTTGTTCATGGGGAGAAGTCTTACTTTAAGCCCTCCACGTACAAAACTGCTAGATGGTTGCTTGGGTGGAGGAAATGGCTGGGTGCCCAGGACTACAGGAGCCAGGTACTGGGGTAAACCAAGTATGTTGCCAAGGGCTTACATGTGGGCATGTCCAACCAGGAAGCAAACCTCTTTCTCCTGTAATGCCTCTTCGGCGCCCTCTACTGTCAAAGCTTCAATGCCAGCTGGCAAAGGGGAGGCCAAAGGCCCAGATGCATTTTCACAATGTGGTCAAAAAGGATTAATTTGGAGCTGAGGAACAATTCAATAACGCTTCTAGTTTTCCTTATAGACTTCGTAGTCATAAGACTACATCAATCTGTCTGAAGGGGCCTTTGAAAGACACTTTTCCCCTAGTTTTCATCAAGCTATCGCTAAAAACAACGGAGGCAGTGATAAGCCGGAATAGATTTGCACCCTGCTTTTCTTTTCCTGCAGCTTCTCACCAAGTTGTCTTGTAAGGCGAGCCAGGCATGGGTCCTCAAGGGCAGGAACCCTAAGCAGAGAGCAGGAATTTGGGAGAGAGCATGCACACTGTGGGAGAAAGGCGGAGGGCGCCCTTACGCCTCGGCTGCCCTCAATGCTTGCTCGGCGGCTTCCTAGGTCACAGAAGCAGTCTGAGGTCTTCCTCCCGCCTGGGCCCAGAGAAGCAGGCGCGGAGCGGGCCCAGCGGGCGGCGCGCTGTGATTGGACTCCGGGGGCCCCGCCCCTTCATCCCGGCGCGTCGGGAGGGGGCGGGGCCAGTCGCCTGCACAGCTCTGGGGCTGCGGGCGCCTATTGACCCAGCGGCCGCCGCGCCGCCGCCGTCTTCAGCTCGTGGCGGGCGGTGCCGGAGCGCCGAGTGGCGCTGGAGAACCCGGCAGTTCCTTTTCAGCTGGTGCCGCCATCTCCGTGTTTGCGGAGCGGGAAGCAGGGAGGGGGTTTGCCGCGGCTGCAGCGGGCTTCTCTCCGGGGAC